GTGTACTGTACTGTACTTTGTTTCATATTTTTGTGGTTAAAAAAAAATACATATGGTTCAGAACGGATTAACCTTATTTACATTGAACCTTATGGGGGAAATTTTATTTGGGTCATGACCAGAATCGTGGAACAGATTAAGTTCGTGAACTGAGGTACCACTCTACTTTGCAAAATACTTTTCTTGGGGTAGAAGGGCCTTCTGGAAGAACATAGGATTGGGCACAAGGAAGTCTGCAGTGGAAGGTTAATAGAAAAATGTAATAATCTTGCCCTCTGTGAGTAGTGTTTTCCATTCACAAAAGCATCTTAAGATTCAAGCATTGTGTTTATGCCAACCTAAGATCTAGTGAAATCTCATAATTCATAACCCCATGAATGAACCTATGCACATATAGTTGGTACACTGAATTAAACAGTTGAAAAAATACTGAAGCAATGGCAACTTAATTGAAAGTGATTCCATTTCTCAGTCAAAACGTAGCTTTGAAATTGACAGTATTGATTTCATTCTTTTCACTGAAATCACCATTGCAATTTTCAAGCATATCACTGTTGGCCATGTCACGTCACAGAAATTTACAAAGTTTAAGAATACAGATCCTGTTACAATAGTAGAGTCTTTTGGGACTTCAGAGGAAGCAATGATGGACTGAAGATGACCACAGCAGAATGAGAAGCTAGCAAACGGTTTGTCCACTATTTGTCCACTCCATACAGAGGCTCCCCATGAGGAGACCATAAAGCAGGTTTTAGAGCTCTGGGAGCTGGGGGAAAGCCATAGTTCAGAGCTTCCAAACGGACACTGGGTTTGCCCACTTCCTTTCTTAATCACTTCTGGAAGTTGCTTGTTAACTGCTGTTTGGATATTAAGAACCTCCAGAATCATCACACCAGGTGATTCTCCTTCAACCCTCAGCAAAAGAAATTTCATGTAAGTTTAAGGACTTAAAACTTTTTTATTTTGAAATAAACCGCAAAAGGGTGATTAGAAAATTGAAATCTTGCTGGTTGTTTAAAATCCTAGTTAAAATATATGATCATTCTGAATTGAAGTGTAAGAAATCTTCCCATCAGAAAAGGTTGTGGATTAGAGAAAAACATGGTAAGAGGAGACTCTGAAGGCTGAACACTAGAGGCAATCAGAAAGAGCTAAAGACTGTAATTAAAGCACCCACTGATACAGAATGGAGAAAAATATTTTAACTTTGGAAGAATTTAAGGATATTTGGGAATGCACTCAGAAATTTCTCTTAAGATTGCCTGCTACCATAAAAATGAATTTTAAAAAGGAGATAGAAGAGGATATAATTGAGAATCTGGTTGTTTTGGATTTGGATTTAAAAATGACAAGTTACAAGAATGATATGGAAAAAGATGTTACACTGGATTTACAACTGAAACTGGCTGATGTCTTAATAACTAAAAGGAACACACAAATAATAAATCAGAAGAGTGACTTGGACAACTTTCTTATCTCGGGAATGTTACACTTATGAAGGAATACCTGAGAAAAGACAAAGAGAAAATGAAAAGATCAGTTTTTGGGATACTATTTAAAGGGAATAAACATCAAGATTTTTGAAAGCAAAAAGAAGGAATATAAAGTTGGCTTATTTGATCAAGGTTAAAATATATATGAAGTTCTTTCTAGTAGCTTTTAATGGGCTTTTCTCAATCAGGACTGAATGATGAAGTTTTAAAGATTTGTTTATAGATATGGGAAGAAGAGATTTTTTTGCTGTATTTTTAGAGAAAGTTATAAGTTATGGTGTTAAAAGGAAAGGAAAGGAATACAAAGTTGGCTTATTTGATTAAGACTGGGTTTATTTGATCAAGGTTAAAATATATTTGCTGTTGTTTCTGGTAGATCTTAATGGACCTTTTTTTTTTTTTAGTAGGACTGAATGATGAGGCTTTAAAGATTTGTTTATAGATAAGAGATAAGAAATGGGAATTTTTTTTTTTTTGCTGAATTTTTAGAGAAAGTGATAAGTTACTATGTTAAAAGTAAAGGAATATAAAACTGATTTATTTGATTAAGGTTAATTCTTTAAATATTGGGGAACCTTTTCTCATTGAGGACTACATTCCTCAGGAATAATCAGTTTGAGGTTTGCATGATCAAAGTTTTATGGGATTCCAGGTAATAACTTGACATGCTGGCAACTATTTCAGATAGGAGCTGTATAACAAATTCCCTCTTATTTAAAGCAGTGAGAATGGGGTGACAGGAATAAAAGTGGTTACCAGTATGTGTTATTACTTCTGGTAACTGTTAATGGACTTTTGCTGATTAGGACTGAGCGATGAGGCTTTATAATTTGTTTATTGATAAAAGATGAGATATAGGAAGAAGAGATCTTTTGTTGAAATGTCAGAGAAGGTGCTAAGTTACTGAAGTACTTGTCTTGGAAGGGGAAGTCATTTCTTCTTTTCTATTTATCTTTTTTCTTTATTATTTTTTCTTTTTCTCTGCACCTTTTATTCTGTTTTCTTTTTTCTATTTTCTTAGTTTGTGTAGGTTTTTGATCTTTGTATTTTTACAAAGATAATTTTTTCTTTGTAAATGAATAATTTTTTCAATAAAAATTATTAAAAACATTAGAGTCTTTTGGAGTGGACAGTCATAATATATTATTATTATTATTGTTGGTCACAGAGTCAGCCAGAGGTTTAGACTGGACTTGGCATTTTTGTCCAGCTATCGAGTCCTTCCCAAGGACCTGGGATAGGCAGAAGTTGTTGTTTGATGGTGTTAAAGGTATCATTGCAGGATATAAGCTGCTCCAAGTAAAGCTGCCTTTTGCAACTGACTGATGGTGACTTTGTCAACATATTCCATCACAATGGAAGCTAATGGTAGGCTGACGTGGCAGCAGTGCTATATAATCAAAATAGGGGGCAGGCTTGTTAGATGTTGTTCATTTAGTTTACTTGACTGTAAAATGTTGAAAAAAGCTATAGAAAGAGAGTTTTTATCAGAAAAAGATATTTGTACACAAGAAGTGTGAATAAGCCAATTCTGTAATACCTTCTGCTGCTCTTGAGCTCCGCAAAGCTCTTTTTCAACAAAGCCACGTGTTGTTATTGCTAGCATTTCAAAGTGGAAAATGAATGGCTTCATTTTACCACAGACCGGCTGCTGCTTGCATCCCGGATTTCTGGCTTTTTCTTATGACTTTACAATTTCCTCTGAGAAATTGTTATGGTTCCTTCAAAGCCTTTGGGATTACTAGCACAATTTTAGACACTATTTGGGGAGGTTCTTTCTTCATTTTATGTCTATGCCTCTTCATAACATGGCTGGCACATAATAATTCTAGAGGAATGGTCCAAGAAGAACTTGTTATGGCAGAAAATGAGAGAATTTTCCAAAGAGAGTGCCTAAAAAGCTTTTCCTTGAGATCTCTGCAAAGTATTTTAAAACAAT